GGCCTGCCTCTGCCCCCGCCTGCCCACAGTCCCGCGGCCTCCCTCTGCCCCCGCCTGCCCACAGTCCCACGGCATGCAGATTGTCTGCTCATACCTTTAGTTTCTCTTCTGCCTGAGAGGTGCTCAAACCGCCCTTCTGCACCAAATTCCAAAATGCTGTGTTGTACAAGTTATTGATGTGACCTGGAAGGCAGAAGAGACCGACCTCATTACACTGCAGGACTGGGTCAGTTTGCGGCGCACACGTCACACAGGTGTGTTGTGATCAGCTCAAATAAGCAGCACAATGTCATATGACGTATCAAAGCTTCTGGTGCAGAGACTGAAGCCAGAATGCAAGGCAGAAAGGGGGGATGATGACGATGTGTACGGATCGCCGGCTGCATCGAGCTCCATGACGACGGGGACTCACAGTCGGCCTGTCGCCAGCTCAGGTAGTCCTTTAGGTTCTGGTTGCTGGGGTAGAGGACCACCCTGCCGTCAAAGCCTGGGGGGTAGAGCAACGGCTGCTCCCCAAAATAATCACGCCAATGGAAAACATAGCTGGAGGAGAACTGGGAGGCTACATGAGTCACCAGTTTGCTGAAGGGAAGGAGAAACAGCGACAAGGGGAGCAGCGATTGGTGCATTCAGGGTTTGCCGTGATTCTAAGCCTGTATAGTATAACCATAGAGGAGTTATACACATATATATTATATTAAATACATTAAATATTACTTAGCTTTCTAACTCATCCTCGAAAACCTGGTAAATAGTCAACCAATTTTCCAGTCATGGAAAACGCATGGAAATTGAGAGGAAAATGTACAATGTCCTGGAAAATCTTGGAAAAATATTTCAGCAAACCAATAATGTTGGCATATGAAGTTCTGAATATGCGAACTTATTGTAGATTTATTGCATGTGTTAAGTATTTTATTAAAAAGATAAACATTATAAATTCATTAAGTTCTGCTGTTCTGAATTTGATTAAAATGACATTACTCAGAATTCCACACGGTCCTGGGCCAGCTGTGTTTGTATTGAAACAGACTGATAGGTCTTTGCACTGAATTGTATTTATTCCAGGAGTGTTTGCACTGACATTTATCAATAATACACTGAATATTACCCAGTTATGACAAGTTTATGTTTTTATTTAATTCACTTCACCTAAACTATACTTCTACATGAAAGATAGGTTGAGCATTTTATTATGTTCAGAAATTGAAATATATATCACTACTTGTAATATAAAACATATGCTACAGAAAGCCACAAAACATGGAATTGCACAGAATTTCATGGAATTCAATTCCCCTTCCTGAAATTCCAATTCAATTACAGTTTTGCTTCCTGTAGGGATTTTTCCCAATCCCAATCCCAATCCCATTTGCATTCCTTGATTTGAATCGGAATTGATGAACGGCCTGACCCTGCAATCTGAAACACCAAAGACGGAGATCGGAGACAGACAGCCGCAGCCCCTCTACCTGGCTCTCCTCTTGAACCAATTTGAGGACCTCTTAAAGACGAAGCTGTACTCGTCGCTCTGCCCATAAGCGATCATGATGTCCTCCAGCTCCTCCATCACCGTTCGAGCGCTGTGGGTCATGAGACCCAGGGCGCGCTCGTCATTGGGCTTGGCGAAGCTGTGCTGCTCTGCAAACCTGCAGAGAACCATGAACCCAGCAGACAGGGACTGAACACAAACAGAGGTCTGCTTCCGAAAAAACGTATGCAGAACAGTAAGAACTTTGTGGCTATCCAAAACAGGGTTGGGGCCATTCCGGAATGCATTGATCAATTCCAGTCCAAATCAGGAAATGGAACTGGAGTTGGAACTTAAATCTCCCTGAAATTCAAATTCAACTGCAATTCTGTTCCCTGTAGTTTTTTTTCCAATCCCCGCTCCAGTTCCATTTCCTGATTTGGACTGGAATTGATCAATGCATTCCGGAATGGCTCCAACCCTGATCCAAACCTGACACCGACATCAGTGAGGTATGATAAAATAATGAAATACAGTATTTGAAATTTTACATAATGATAATACATACGATTTCTCTGCTGTCCAGTAGAACAGATCAGACTCACCTGTGAAAGTTGCGGCCATCCAGACGCACGACAATGTAGCAGTTTCTCAGACACGTGTCGTCAGTCTCGAAATTGCGGACATACTCGAATTTACTTTTGGCCATGGTCGATCCAGAATATAAATGAAACGACCTTCTGGGGTGAGACTTTATTAGAACATCACCTCCTCCAGCGCACCATGTAAATGACAATGATCGGAGAAGGACCAGATGTTTCCACATAAGGTTTCTGAAAAGAAGCACTAAAGATTAAGCAACAAGACCGTAGTCACGATACTCTATGTTACACTAAAATATTTCCTGCTTCGTGCAGACGGTACATTACCTTGCTATTCAGTTAGATACACACGGCCGTTTCGGTGTCCATGCCACTTTGTCGCAGTTGTTGGTGTCACTTTTAGTTCTTCGTTGATATTTCACCAGTATTCAATTAAACGTGTGATTACTAGTAAACGTGTAACCTCCATTCAGGACCAACTAATGACATTGCATCAATACATACTACAACCTTGTATATACATGCTCTCCATAGAAAAATAAATAATATAGCAAACTAAAAGACAATCAGAATCATATTCCTTCGAACTATTTGAAGGCACGAACCTACCCATAGTCCTTAGCGCGGTCCACCTGCGTCTCCCGTCGTACTGGAAAGTAGAGTGGAAAAAAAAGTTCCGGAAAATATATACTGGTTTGTTAACAAATGCAAATCATGTCAAATGGTAAATAATATCTAAAATTGAAATAAACCTTTTATGGATGTTGGTGAAGTGCATTTTAAAAAGCGAACGAACTTTTTTGGCAGAGCGCATAATTACCGCCGTGTGTCGCCCTCCGGCTCCCTCTTGTGGAGGCCGATAGAAGCTACAAATATTACCGTACGATACACATTCTACTCTAGCAAGCATGGAAGAGAAGGTGAGGAAGGGGCAGCAAAACCAGTGCGTGAAAAGCGAGAAAAAAGAAGCGACCAGTGCCGAGGCGGACGAAGATGACACTGACTCTAAGTTAGATGTAAGCTCTGAACACTTTGATCCGATGTTGGCACTGTACTCCCCGAAATTCAGCCTGCCCTTCCCGGACGTAAGGTGCTTTAACAACGTCGCCGAGTATGAGAGTTTCCTCCGAGGCGGTCGGGGGAGAGCTAAGCCCGAAAATGTGGAGAAAAAGAAGAGGAAGGCGCAGAAAGGCGTCGCCGACCCGGAGAGGATCGAGAGACTGAAGAAGCTGATGGTAAAGGCTGCGCCGCCGGAAGGAGAAGAGAGCGGCAGCTCCAGGAGGCCTCCCCGAAAGCAGAAAGCGCCCAAGAACGTCCTGACAAGGATGCAACGTATGTAAAACCACAGCATTTTAGTAAATATTAATGGTACAAGAGGCTCTGGATGCATCTGGCAGGACGCTCTCGTTATAATAGATGTACGAATAAGATCAGAGATGGTCATTCTTCTCTACAGATACTCAATATTACTAAAGCAATGCTTATTTGTTGCAGTGCATTCAGGCAGTCCGCTGGGGGAGCTTCACCGCTGCGTCAAAGACCGGGTCCGAGTCAAAGTGCACATTCGCACCTTCAAGGGTCTCCGTGGCGTCTGCTCCGGCTTCGTCGTGGCCTTTGATAAGTTCTGGAATATGGTGATTTCTTTGTGTTGTGCTATTTTACTGACTCCTAGGACAACTAACTGACATTATTTAAATATAATTGCGGTATGGTAGTCAAACCCGTATGTAGACCTGTGTGTTGCTTCTGTGTATCAGGCCATGGTGGACGTAGATGAGACATACAGGAAGCCGCTGCTAGGGGATGCAATTCTGCACGCGCCATCTCTCACCGTCACCAGAGTAAGCTCCTCCCCCTCAGCACCCAACATACCCCACCCCACATACCCCACCCGACATAAGCATGTCTGTCCTTCAGCTCTTCGAAAGGTTGAAACTGCAGGAGAGTCCGGAGCCCGGGCAGAGCGGGGCAGCGGGGGACTCCGTGTCAGAGGCTGCTGCACAGAAGCCTGTTTTCCCCACGAGCCGTCAGCCGAGCACCGGGCAGTCGGGGACGGCAGAAGGACAGGGCTCAACGGCCAGAAAGGAAGGGAAAAGGACAAAAGCGGACTACCAAACGGTGCACACACGGCACATAAGCCAGCTGTTCATCCGAGGAGAGAACGTGCTGCTGGTTCACGTACCGCCGTAGGGTCATGGGCGGGTGGGGAGCACAGTCCTGCTAACCTGCTAACAGAGGACTGGCTCTCCAGTCACACTGCTGCTGGGGCACATTTTATACACCTTTAACATCATGGTGGCTTCCTCCAGCACAGGTGCTGTTCCAGTCTGAGAAACTTAATGTTCCCCTACAGGACTGTCAGGAACTCAGCTACATGTAATTTGTTTATGGGAGTAAGGACACCGTTTGATTAGCTTTGTAGATGTATTCATATATCTTTGAAAACCATACCTCAGATGTGGTCTAGCCTTCATACTGGACTAGGGTAACTCATTTAAAAGTTTCATTTGTACAGAACTGCGGGGCAGCTAACTCTGGTACGCCCACCTTTCTGCCCACTGACGGATATCACACTGACCATTTATAATCATTTAATTTTATGGCAAAACATTATCTCCTGTATCAGGATAATTTTTGAAGTGTGTAACATAATAAACATCTTGTAGGGTTTGACATGGCGTCAAGATTTTCTAGATTGTGTTATTTCAAGGAAACCGCATGCAACGATATGGTTTGTCATGAACCAAATCCATTTATTTGCAAAATGGTTAATCTTCTAAAAAAAATCAAGTTAGGCCAATAGGGATGAATACGATGCTATGGTATCAACTGGCCCATAGGTGTCAGTGTGGCTCCACTGAAGAAGCAGCTTGAGTTTATTTCAAGACCCCAGATTTACTTTTGACTATAGAAGTTAAATATTTGAAGAAAAAAAAACACTGGAAACTGGCCATAGTTGTTTTTGTGCTGGGATCATATTTTAAGGCACATATATTAACTGTATGAAAAGCTTTTTTGGCAAAAGGCACAAGAGTATTCTGACAGGGAAGCTGGGCTGAGGGCGGCCTGACCAAGGGCCTCCAGCACCCAGACAGGGAAGCTGGGCTCAGGGCGGCCTGACCAAGGGCCTCCAGCACCCAGACAGGGAAGCTGGGCTCAGGGCGGCCTGACCAAGGGCCTCCAGCACCCAGACAGGGAAGCTGGGCTCAGGGCGGCCTGACCAAGGGCCTCCAGCATCCAGGGGAGCCTCTGTTCTGGGCCTATGGAGTGTGGTAGTCAGGGGCACTGTCAGGTGGGGGTGGGGGGAGTGGAAATGAGAGAGAGAGAGGCTCATGGGGAGGCCAACGGGGCCATACTTCAGGCTACAGCTCGGACAAGCTGCTCGTCATCATCCTGCTGAGATCAGACGTTTGACCTTCATCATCCAGGGAGACTGAGGAGCACTGCGGAGTCCATGTGGTCAACAAACAAAAGAGCAGTTAAGATGGGTGGCACCAAAAGACAGCACCCCCCCCTAAATAACCCTCTCCCTCAACACCAGGGTTCCGCTGGCACTAGAGAGAAAGATCCAGAAAAGGAGGCAGGACTCCAGGACCCCAGGAAAGCCGAACTGCCAGCCTCACGTGCCCAGGAGGCTCCGAAAGGATGAGCTGAAACCACGTTTTAATTAACCGTTTAATGTTAAACAAAAAAAAAAAAATCATGATAACAATCAAAACAGACTTCATGGATTGAAAAAGATTCATTTGCTTTAGGAAAGAGGATGCATGTCTTACATTTGCGTAAACTAATAGTGTTTTTAGTAATGACCCTTTCCTACAGAGACACCATGGATGCGGAATTCTTTGTATATATCATTTGATTTGAGTACTAAAGTATTGAAAAAAATTAGACAAGCCCCTTGTGGAAAAAATAATTTTTTAAAAAACATATTAAAATAAGATTTGGTCTTTTATAACATATAATGCCCAAGGATTCAATGGAAGGCTACCATCTGATGTTTGACTAAATAAACAATCTGGAAAAGAAAAGAAAACCCCCAAATCAGCGTAGAGAACGCTCCCTGTGCGTACGCCGGGACACACCAGAAGCACCCCCCCACCACACCTTCCAGGTATGAGAAAATGACAGGACATCAACAGCCTTGGAGGACAACCAATCAAAAGCAGCCTTTCAATGTAACCAAGGGCTACGGCACGAGCTGCCTGCACATGGCTGAAGCGCGGACATCTGTGCAAGCCCGCCGCCTCGTGGGCACATCACACACACGGCCTTCACAGACGCTCTTCACGGGCCTGTGATGGACGCCAAAGGTACAGTCTAACGGTCGGGCGTGGTCCCCGAAGGGACCCCCGCTGAGGACTCACCATCAGGCACCCAGTGCTGCTCCTAACTACGATAATTATATCTGGATGTAAAACTCTGATCATAACTCTTAATAAAAAAATAAACCCTTCAGAAAGGCCATAGAGGTCAGTTTCCTAAATATTCATTCATTCATCCACCATTCATTCATTACAAGTTAATTCCAATATTAACGAATCACCTGTGGGAGCAGAAATTTAATTTCCAAAGTATATAAAGACTCTTGATTACATACGGCAAAATAAGAAATCTGGTTTTCATGGGCCCTCTTCATCAAGAAACAAAGTCTTCAATATTAAACAGCCCATTCGCCGACTCTGCTCTCTGGCGCCCCCTCCCCAATTCAATCGTATTCAATAATGCAATAATTTATTTGTCTGCAAACCCAAAGATATTTACAAGATGACCATTAAGGTTTATTCACCAATGATGTAAAGCAAAGGCAGAGTGAGGTCGGCCGATACTTCACTGGGGGGTCTGAGGCCAGTGGGAGGAGGGCAGCTTTTCTTTCCCGTGGGTAGGCAGTAATGAACCCCCCCCCCCGCCATTTTCTCTGTGCTGTGTTGTTACTGGAGGGTAAGTATTGTGAATTTTCTTTTTTTGTTTAACATCTCATTCACAGAATCCGCCAACAGATTCTCCCTGGAAGAAAACCCAGACAAAAGTGGAGGGAAAAAGAAAACGTTCTTGGTTCTGCACGTATGGAACGGCGAAGCTGGGGGGCTGGGCCTCCTGGTCTCTGCGCGCAGGTCCTACGATCCTTCATGACTGTCAGGTCGCAAAGCGCCCCCCCTCACTGCCCCCTCCCCCGCAGCCTCTCATTTGCCGAAGTTGGCGAAGTTGGCAAAGGCATCCGGTTTGGGGGGCACCATGGTAGGGCTGACGTGGCCCAGGCCCGTGCCCCCGGACAGCCCCAGGCCGTGGGAGGGTGCCCCCATGTTCATGTTCATCGCGCCGTGGCTGACGGGCATGCCCAGGGAGCCCATGCCCATGGTGCCCGTGGCCATCATGGGCGGCATCGCCATGCCCCCGCTGGGCATCATGGGGTTGCTGGGCGGCCGGACGGTGGCCGGCGAGGGCTGCATGGACAGGTTCATACCAGCGAAGCCCTGGCTTACCGTGGCGATGGCTGGCTGAGCACCTGAAACACAAACAGGGCGAAGCAAGTTACCATCAGGGAGATTCAACTACAGGCAAATGGGGAAGGAACCCATTAGTCTGCTTAAACTGCCTCATCAAAGCGGGGGTGGACAGACAGGGAGAGAGAGAGAGAGAGAGAGAGAGAGAGAAGGGCAGATAGAGAAGAGAGAGGGAGAGAGAAAGGCAGAGAGGCAGGGGGAGAGGCATGGGGAGAAAGAGAGATGGAGAGAAGGGCAGATAGAGAAGAGAGACAGAGAAAGGCAGAGAGGGAGTGAGAGAGAGAGAGATAGAGGGGGAGAGAGAGAGACAGAGGGAGACAGGGAGACTCCATCATCAAAAAGCCTCCAAATAATCGCTGGGTTTATCGGGACCAAAATCCAAAATGTACCGTTTAAAGATCTCAGCTCTGATGCATGAGAAAGGTGATCAGGGTCTCGCCAAATGCATTAAACATGACGACACTGCAGAGATGAGTGCAGCTCCTGCTCTTATCTCTGCTGTCTGAGTGTGTGTGTTATCTACAGCCTCACCCTGGGACCGGGCGGCTCCACCCACCGGCCGCTGATGGACACGGCCCAGAGCACTGCGATGCTCCCGCGGCTTTGGCTGCGACCGTCAAACTTCCTGCCTGCCCCGAGTCCCGCTCACAAGACATGCTGGGACAGCTCGAAAACAGCTGCCTAGAATGACCCATGACCCCCCATGAGGCTCAGACAGAGCCAAGGGCCCCGGGCAGAGGTAGACATTTCAGGGTCCAGAAAGTAAAAATCCAAACCAGGATTTTGTTTCAACCATCCAGGTGAGTCCTCTGACTGTGGGTGCGTTCGACTTCATGCAGCCCCTTACATCGCTGGCTTAAAGCAATGCATTCTGGTCCTGACGCAATTCATCATGGTTAGATGTTTTTGTCAGACCTCAGCCGGCACTGCAAAACGTCATCACGTTTCACCATGTCACATGGTACAAAAACCTCGCGAGAGCAAGACGACTTGAGACAGATTGTTCAGCACAAACCGGAACCTCCGTGATGATACAACTTTGCCCTTATTGGCTGAAGATTTTAGTCACACGCATGACGTTTGTATCACAGGAAGTTCTGATGCGTAATCTGCTACTTCTCCCAAATATTTTACCTGGTAAAATAAAGTTTAAATAAATTACATAAATGCTCTAAGAGTACACGCAAGTTAGTGGTTTATTTATTGTTAGTTACTGTAATGTTGAGCTGCATTATTTGTTTAATCGTCCAGTCTGTGAAGAAGACATTCAAGTAAGAATTGCATTGTACTCTGTACATGACAATAGTAACTTTGAATCCTTGAAATACATGTATTTGATCTTTTTCCTGGCAGCTATCGTTTTACACAGAGCCACTATACACAATAGTTTATTTTTTTTCACTGCTAACAGTTTGTATCAGGAGTTGGTTATTGTAAAAGAAGTAATGTGCATGCAGGTGATATTTGTATAGATTTATCTACACCCTTCTGGCAGTGCTGCCACTGCAGTCAGGTCTCACAGACTACGAGGCGTAGAAGTTGTCCGGCTTGGCTGCAGTCAGTTTATACCCCTGCAGCCGCCGGCAGATCTCGCTCCATGTCACGTCAGCAGCAGACAGACCTAAGCCCAAGTCGAACGCACCCTGTGACTCTTTATATTCAACTGGTTGGTTGAAACAAAATCCTGGTTTGGATTTTTACTTTCTGGACCTGAAATATCCACCTGTGGCCCCGGGGGCCCCCGACTGTGACGGCGCTGAGATGGAGCCTCACCCTGCTGCTGAATCATGGTGTTCAGGCTGGGCTGGGCTGGCTTGGGCGGCTGCGAGCCCGGAGATAGGAAGTCCAGGCTGATGTTGACGCTGGAGTCTGACCACGTGGCTGGCATGGGGGCCCCAATCCCCGGCTTCGGCGCTCCCATCGGCTGCGGCATCATGGGATGGCTCAGGCTTTGCAGCGGCTGCGGGGGGGATGGAGATCATCAAGCGAGGTTCTGCACAGCGTCCGTCACGGTGCAACCCCTGGGGGCCTCATCTCCCCCCACAGCGCGCAAAGGCATTCCACAGCCAGCTCACTGCATCTAATGGCAGTAAACAACTTTGAAAGCAAAAGTTTGACCTACTTTTCAATGTCACTTTTTCAACATGCAAATAGGTCCCCTGCATCAGACTATTTAATTTAATGGTTGGGTCCCCTCGCCCTGGCATTCCCTGGGGTGTGGAAATGATGGGGCCGACCTGGGGGGCGTCTGCGGGCTGTGCTGACACTGCATGTTCCTGTCCCACTCGCCCTTCCATTCTAATTCCTCTCGCTCTCACCCAGGGTTACCACTATATGGAAAAGGTTCAGTGTTTAAACCAAACCAAAACTAAGCTCAGCATCATGGAGACGACTCACAGCCATCTGTCATACTTTAACCTTACAGGCGACCCAAATGCGGTCGGGTAACCGAACGCAGTTCAAATCATCCCAGGATAACATGCAGCTGTAGAAAAATTTCTAGAAATGAGTGATGACCAATCACAGGCTAGAATGCTAAAGAGCATGACATCATAACGAGCGTACCTGGGACTTGGACATAGGGATACCCGTGCTCTGGGAGCTGCTGAGGGGAAAGGTCATGCTCTGCGAGGCGCTCAGGGTGGGCTGGACGGGGGAGGGACCCATCAGGTCCAGCAGAGCACTGGAGGGCGCCGGCTTGGCCTGCATCCCGGAGAACAGATTCATGGCAGCAGGGGGCGCTGGCGTGCTGCCGGGAAAGGCATTCCAGTCGCCGAAATCATCATTCACGCTGGAGGCTGTGGCTGCAGAGGAACCAGAGACAGCTATAGAGTGGGAAGGAGGTCCCATCGGGACCGGAACATAGCACTGACAGGACAACAGGACCATGCTTGGGCTGGCAGGCAGTGAGAGGGGCACCTGGGCATAGGACCCCGCACACGCAGCCTAGCGATCACGCCAACAGGCGCCGAGGTGTCTGTCCTCATTACTCTCCGAGGTGAAGAGCTCCACCGGGACCCGCCCATTAATGTTTCAGTGCTCCGCTGGAGGTGGCCGCTCGCCCGGGAGGATATGCCGTCCCCCACCCCCCCAGCCATGGTTAGGACCCCGTGAGCCGGCTAACGACGTACCGGCTACCGTGGGGACGCTGGCAGGAGCAGCCGGAGACGAGAAGCTGGCGAAGTCACTGATCAGGTCTGGTGCTGCAGGGAGGAGGCAAAACGGCAGCGCAATTACCCACAATGCCGTTAGGCATCACATGGCACACATCTGCAAGCTGAATGACTGACTGCCTCCCCGAGGTCCGCGTCCTGCAGGTACTGAGACCAGGTGTGCTCATGGTCATCAATGCAGAACTTCAGGACACCTGAAGTTGATCTCGCATGAAATGTCTTGTGAAGCTGGAAAGTTGGATACGATTTGATGAGCATGGATCTAAAGATGTCGCCTAGCCATTCCCAGCCAGCAGGGGGAGCCATCTGCCCAGCACTCGGGTTCCACTGGGCCCCATCTGGTGCACTCCGCGCACCCCCCACCCCCCAGGCGCTCGTCCGAGCCCCCCAGAACCGCTAACGTGGGCCTGGGGATCTTCCAGATCTCTGCCACAGCCCCCACATTCACACATGCATGGACCACAGAACATAAACCCCAATGGAGTCTGGTCACATACAGCCTTTGGCTCTTCAGGCACCCTGATGGATGATGTGGCGACAGCCAGGCCGGTGCCGGGATCGAATTCACGCTTCACAACGTCGTTAACGGTAATTATGTCATTTCCCTTAAGACAAGGCGGTCGGCCAATAAACACTCTTCGGCTTTCATATGTCGAGCACGTCTGGAAATGGACCGAGTCACGCGGACCAAGAACCGGCAAGCGGGAAGGAGTCGCGAGGCCACGTCCTGCAAGCCGCCAGGCGGCGCCGGGTCGGGTCCAGGGCGCGGCTTCACCTGGGGCCGCTGTCTGGCGGCTGCCGGAGTCCACGACCAGCAGGTCCGCCAGGCCTGTGCTGGAAGACGGACTTGCTTCTGTAGCTGGAGTCTGGACCTAAGCGACAGGACGCCAGAGCGGAATCACACTGTGAATCACACTGTGAATCTCAATCGCACCTGAGGCTGCCACTCCCCAAAACAGACACTAGATGGCAGTGACACCTTCACACACATGCGACTACAGAGGAAACTTACTGTCAATTATGAATCATGCTGTTCGGTCACAACAAACGAAGAAACTTCCGCAAACAAATCCATCCACACCCTTCGATTCTGCTAAACATGATGTTTTACTTGCTACAAAAGACCATCTGATACAATAAAATCCATTTTGTGAGACGACTGATTATGTATCCAAGACAACTACAGGGCAGCCTACAGTTTGATAGGGGATCAGCGTGTGTCTGATGCCCTCAGCTTACCTTGGAGGTGCCGGGGCTGCCCTTGTCACCCGTGTAGTGGGCAGCAGCGCCCAGGTCCACGGTCTTGGAGGGGACCCCCCCTCGCTTGCGTGCGGCGCTGCTGCTGCCGCTCTCCTTCGCCTGCGTAAGGCTGGTGTTCCTGGAAGTCGTCTCCTCTTCCTCGTCCCTGAACTCGGACCTGCCGGCTCGGCCGTTGCGGGCTGCACGCTCCCTGTCCTCCTCGTTGTCGCTGGACGAGTGAAATGACAGCAAGGAGTCAGAAGGAGGGAGGCGTGTCCAGAGGGCTGCCTTGACCCCAGCGTCCCCGTGTGACCACACGACTCCATCTCGCTCTGGGCACGAAGCTCTGCTGCTTTCAGTTAGACAACCTTCCGGCGAGGAACCATCTTCCCTCTTAATTGCAAACAAACGTCTCGGAAGCTGGAACATTCTAGTGCGGGACGCAGGGCCGAGACCAGTGATTCTATACCCGAAACCACAGGCTAAGCAGGGAAGCAGTGGTGTTCGGGGCGTTCACCTTCCAGCTGAGGCGAGAACGGGCCCCTCCCCTGCACCTCGCCCCTACCTGAACCTGTCGGGCGAGTCGTCGCGATCCTTCTTGCGGAACTTGTTGATCGTGTCGTCGATGGTGCTCCCAATCTTGTCGGTGATCTCGCCCAGCTTCTCACTGAAGGGGAAGGCCTTGCTCTTGTCCCAGTCATCGTCCCACTTGGACCTGGGCTCCGATTCGTATTTGTCCGCTGCGAACGGCACAGAAGCCTCATTCCCGGATGTGTAATCAGACTCAGGTCAGCAGATCTGAGATGGGAGACGAGGCGAATCCACGGCCAGCATGGGCCACCGCGCGGCGCGACGATCTGATACGACGAGACGCTCGCTAAAAACGGGGCTGCCCACTTACACATGCAGCTTATTTAAATGTTAACAAGTATAATCTGTGAAACACTTCAACACATGTGACACCTTTCAAAGGCCGCTGATGGTGAGCAAAATGAAGGCAGAACAGCTGCCAATGACCCCCCCCCCCCGGTGGAAGACGGGACCTACAGTATCGGAAGCCCCCCATGCTGTCGGAGGACACCCCGATGTATTTGTCCTTGTTCTTCTTGGCTTTCTTCCTCTCCTCCCGGAGACGGTCGTCATCTTGCACGAACTCGACCATCTCCTTCACCTTCTGCCGCACATTGATGCCCTGATCCTTGCCGTTTTCGTCTGCGTGGGGACACACAGGGGACACGTGACACGTCTCCCGAGGACAGGATGGGTCTCCCCAGGAAAGGATGCCCGCTCTGGCCCTTGACCCATCTGAAACGTGCCGTGGTGCCCTCACGGGACTAATACTGTCCGTCCCACTCCAAACTGCACGCTTTAAACCCGCTTCAGGGACCCAACGCTACCCCACAACCTGCAGGAGAGCAGGCAGCTGACATCACCATAGAGCGAGCGACAGGTCAGTCTTCAAGACATTCCTGATGGCAATGCCCTCAACCCCCCCCCATGGGACCACAGTGACATACACCGTAGGGACGCGACAGCTTGCCAGATCAAATTTCTGTAAAAATAGCTCTCACTGTATGAAATGGCTCACCGCTGTAATGCAGAACAGCGGACTTCCACAGAGACAAACATACTCACCCACGAAGTGATAGCTTTCGATGGAGCGCAGGTCGTAGACGTGCTCTCTGGTACTGGTGACGACCCGCTCCGACCCGTTCTTGATGAGGTATGCCAGCAGCAATAAGGCCTGGGGGGGAGGGGGGGATGTCACACCCACTGAGAATGCCCCTGCTTGCTCATTTCAGCTTGTTCACCTGGGAGGAACTGGAAGTCCAGCCAACCAGCTAGACCATGTGACCAAAACTGCAAAGCCAGAGTGCCATCTTCTCCCAAATAAAACATCACCCCCCCCCCCAAAAGAGATCGATAGTCCCACAGAATGGCAGGCATTTGACGGGGTAAAGCTTCTGTACTCGGTGGAGAAACACAGACAGGTAGGTCCGCTCCCTCAAAGTGTCTGAGACCCCTGCAGTTTGCCCTCCTTGCAGTTGGGGGGCAGTGTCACACCTTATAAACTCTCCTCCAGCTCTTCTTGTTGTCCTTCAGCATCCTGGTCCATAGCATGTTCATAACCTCGGGGAACTGCTCGTACATGAACGTGGCCCTGCGTGAGGATGGGGGCACAGCGGCAGTACATGTTAACCCCAGTCACCTGACCACATTTAGGCAGAGATGCGATCCCCCTGATTAGTGTTCCGGTAAACATGTCATATCGGGGGAAAGTGAAACTAACTAAACTCATTTGCTTTAAGATAAAAAGATTTTACTTTGATACTGTGAACTAAACACAGAAATGTAACGTTTTCCCACTATGCTAACATCTTCCAGAAAACAGGAATGTCGCTGTAAGGGGAATGTCACCTGGCAATCTCCCCCATGAGCTGCCCCGAGGGCCCCCAGGGGTCATCGTTGGTGGCTTCTCGAACCTTGGACTCGATCTCTGAATAGTTCATGACCACATTGGTGCTGCAGAGGGAAGGGCACAGACAGAGAACTATGACAAACGCAGCATCTTATGTTTTATGAAATCAAGCATTTTTTATTTTTTTTAAAGACGGTTCTGATTTATAGGCCAGCTGTGTTATTGGCACGCTTCCCCCTTGGGCCCCAGCCCGGATCTCTGGGGAGCAGTCAGAAATGCGACTAGGGCCAACCGCACACCTTGGGCCTGAACAGCAGTGTGTGGAATTAGTGGTGAGCTAATGGGGGCGGGGCCACATGCACCATGAGAGACGCCCACTGGGGGCGGGGCCACGCTGGGGCAACATGCACCGCGAGAGACGCCCACTGGGGGCGGGGCCACATGCACCGCGAGAGACGCCCACTGGGGGCGGGGCCACATGCACCGCGAGAGACGCCCACTGGGGGCGGGGCCACATGCACCACGAGAGACGCC